ATTCATAATTTCCAATATTGTTATTAGCGTTCTTCAACAATATTTTTAGAGATTTCAATAATCATAAATGAAGGAGCCAGAAAATTTTTTTGTAATATACTTTAAACAAGTTTTAGAATGATTTAATTTCCGCTTTCAACTGCTCATATGTAAACATTGATCCCAAATAATGAGTCGAGAGCTTACATAAAAAAGTTTGAAAACGTTGGTTAAATTTAACAAATTTAACGAATTATGAAATGCAATCAATATTAGCTTCATTAAAAAAGAAATTGATGAATGACAAGGATGAAAATAAATGAAGGGGAAAAAGTACAAACACGTGATGGACTTATTAATTAGATTCGTTATTCGGAAATTTTATATGTATTAGTATTCGGTGTCTTTTAAATATTATTAGCTTCGTCGTAAACTAAAATTAAAAATTGCAAATTGGCCAATTGTTTCCTTTTTGTTTCATAGTAAGAATGATTTTTCAAATTTGAAGGGATAGATATAGAAATTATTCTATTTTTTTTTATGATTATTTAGATGGGTTTATTTAAATATCATTTTAACCAAAGAGTGGCAGGCTGGCTTTAAGTTAATTGGGGTGGGATTACATTTAGAATTTTAAAAGTCTCATTTTTTTTGAAATGTGGACAGTGCGTAATGTGCGTTCTAACAAATTTGCAAATTTAGCTAACATTACACATCCCGCACAGTGCAATAAATAAATATTATATTATGAATAAATGATAATAAGTTACAACTTTGTGATGATGCCTTATACATCACAAATTTAAAAATTTTTTGTGATATTTATTTTTGTTTAAGCGCACAAGAGCATTTAAAAAAAAAAAAAAAAAAAAAAAAAATATAAATAAAATTCTAGTAAAACAAAACACGATATATAATAAAACTATAATTAAATAATTTATGCAACTTCATTGTTTTCCATAATTTAACCCACATCTTTTTAAAGCAATAATTATTCTTGATATTTTCTTTTTTTAGACTGAAATTGGTTAATGTAATCAGTTTCCACCACAATTCTATCCCAAAACTCTCTCATACAAATTTGGAAATTCATAGTAAACTGATTATTATTATTATTATGTGTGGTGGTGTTCATTTCATCATGAATCTCTTTCAATTCAATAAACCAGAGTTTTGTCCTTTCTTCAACTTCAATTTTCTTTTCACAATTATCAAGATATTGAAAGAGAGGTTGCTTTTGTAACTTTAGTTGAGTTTTTAATCCTCTTTTTTTGTTATTGTCATTGTGATAATTGAATGTTGGGTTAATATTAAAAATTTGTGGTAAGAAA